TGTTTAGGATGTTTGGTTGTATGTTTTGTTTATTGTAACCTTATTTTTGCACAGGAGACTTTCAATTAATTAGGATGATGTTTGTATTTTTGTTCCTTAAATTTGGTAGAAGACTAATAATTAAGTCGTCTGGAAAGACATCCAGCAGGAAGACTTTCCTGATGACTTAATTATTAGTCGTCAGAGAAGACTAACACAAATTCTTAATACATACTCATAAATCCTGGATGACTTAGTAGAAGACTAATAATTAAGTCGTCTTGAAAGTCATCCAGCTGGAAGACTTTCCAGATGACTTAATTATTAGTCGTCAGAGAAGACTAACACAAATTCTTAATACATACTCATAAATCCTAGACGACTTAGTAGAAAACTAATAACTAAGTCGTCTTGAAAGTCATCCAGCTGGAAGACTTTCCAGATGACTTAATTATTAGTCGTCTGAGAAGACTAATACAAATTCTTAATAAAAATTCTTAACACAAATTCTTAACACAAATTCTTAATACATAGATTCATAACACAAATTCTTCTGGACAACTTAATTAAAGGTCATTCTTTACATTGTGCTTTTATGGCCAGTTTCTCTGCATACTGAGCATCTATAAACCCTGTGTTGCTTCCGGGGTTTGCGTCCTCTCATCCGGGATAGCTCCAACCAAGATTGCCATATTGATTTCTTTTGTCTCCCCAGACCACGCTTTTCGGCCAGAGGATCGCATGTACATTCCTCAACTTGTTGTCCAGCACAAGGATATATATTCTCTGAGTATCCTGCAAAAAAAATAATTCTTTGAGTACACTGGATGTACAAGTGTGGAGATATGCACACGAGCATGTGATCCAGCAGCTATAGCATGAGAGCAAGGTATTTTCTCCACTTGATAGACACCACAATCACACTTTCCATTCTCCAAATCAACCACACAGTCCATTTGCCACCTTTCACAAAGAATTTCCATCCATCAATTGGTTGGGCCCTCATCGTATCCGCTATCTCCGATTGAACAGCAAGTAAGTATTCAACACCCGACTATGATCTGTTAGGAGACTCAAAGCATCTTCTCTCCTTTTCCAAAACCAGTTTCCTAGCTTCTCCCTTATGAACTTCAACAGGAACTGAATCGGAAATCTTCTAGCTCGTTTCAGTGCGGAATTAATAGATTCAGCGATGTTGATTATTTGTATGTTGTATCTGTCCCCCTGAAAATAAACCCTTGACCATAGGCTAACATCAGCATTCTCCTAATACGTTGCAAGGTCCGGGTTTGCACTCCGTATCTCAGCCATGTACCGGTCAAAATCTGAAACCGTATGAGCATAAGCAGCACCTTTCACCAAGTACAAGAGATTTTTTCCTTTATACTTTTTGACAATGGTATCTTGAAGGTGATAATAACATATTCCTCTGATTTCCCTAGGAAATACCTTATCGCACACACTTTTAATGGCGGTGTGCCGGTTGGAGACTATCACCAGAGTCTGCACATCAGATACACAAGTAGCCAATTTTATGAAAAACCATTCCCATGAAGGTTCATCTTTAGCATCTACGATCCCAAAAGCCAATGGAAATATCTGAAAATTCTCATCTTATTCGGCTGCAACTAACAAAACATCTCCATACTTCCCACTTAGGTGAGTCTCATCCACCACAATGACCCTTCTCTGATACTTAAAACCGTTGATAGAAGCTCCGAAAGAGAGAAATAGATACTTAAATCTATTGATGGAATCAAGTTATATAGCCGTGATAGAATTGGAATTTGCTAAGGAGCTCGAGATATGATGGCAGACGTGAATATCCATCTTCTGTTGATCCTCTCACCAATGTTTGTGGCAGGATTTATGAGTATGTATTAAGAATTATTTTTGACAAACTTCTGGACAATGCATTAATTTTGACAAAATTATTTATGTAAAATAAAAAAGTAGAAATAATATACAAAATTAATGCATTGTCCAGAAGAATTGTTGATTTCATAAAAAAGTAGCAACAATATCAATAAGGTAAAATAAAAAAAAAGTAGAAATAATATACAAAATTAATCCATTGTCCTGAAGCTCGAGATATGATGGCAGCCGTGATATTGTGATTAGAATTTTAGGTTTACATTTGCAAATGATGTGTATGATAATGATTGATGTCTCTTAGAAAATTTAAAGCGAAGAGGAATTATATATGATAAAATATGTTTTGTTTTTTTACAATAGTTATTTGTCCAAAAAAAAAGAAGTTGTTTTCATATTAAAGAAACTTGACATTGATATGTTGTGTGGGTTTCAAATAATTTGTTGTGGCAATTGTTTGTGTATATTATAAGAGTAGTTACTTTTTATATTGAAATTATTCAACATGCTATTAGAGTGGAAGTGGTGATTATTTAAAGGTTCATTTCTTATTAAAATTATAATGTTATATTGAATGCGAAGAAAGTAGTAAAGCAAAGCTAATCAAAATAAGAAAACATTAAAAACGGTAAGTGTAAGAATTGAATAGTGGTTGATGAGTGAAGGCACGTGTTACTCACCGTAAAACCAACTCCAAAAACTTTTCCATGAGTTTATACTATAATAACAATCACTGTATTGATTTTCCATATTACTGAAATGGCACTTACTTAATGCCATAATAAAGATCATGATAGTTGCTTAACAATTCTTTTTCAATATAGAAACGTCGCGTAATGAACTTTTAGTTAGTGTATTGTTATATACTATTTTGTTAATTTAAATTGTTAGTTAGTTTGTTTGTAAGTAATTGTTTTTTTTTTTTTTTTTTTTGGTTCTATGGCATCATCATGTCAGTTTTTATTTTTGAAGAATTTGTATCTAACAACTAATGTATATGACTCTTTTTGAAGTTCTCGTCAGCCATCATGGACTTTGCATAATTTTCTAAAAAGGAAATCTCTAATTTGGTGAGAAATTGGCAATCCAAACATTAGCCATCTAGTTGGGTTGGAAATGGTGTTCTAGGTTGGAATGTTGTTCATAGTGATCATTGGTCTCATTTCTTAAGTTTATTGTTAGGTGATACTCAGTTTTGGTAAAATAAGCTTTTAGTGTTTGTTAGGAACAAATATCAACATCTCTGAACCATTTCCTGCTTGGCCTTAACTCTTAAGCATATGATTTCAGATTCTAGGAGAAAAAGATTCATAATGGTTTCTATGTTCGATTCGAAATCAGTTACCAAGATGTTTTTAAGATTTGGAGGACCAACTGGTAGACATTGGTTTCTTTAAAGAGATCGAAGTTGCATTCTAACAAAACTAAATTCTTTGTTCTATAAACATAGAGGATTTAAAAAAAAAAAAACTACATACTTTCTTAAAAAACCTGAAATACATAATATTTGGATTTCCATTACCAAGGTACTAAAACTTTTATATGGTTGGCAGAGATTTTAATAGTATTTATAGCGTAAACTATGTATTTATTATGCATATATCTGTATATTTTTATTAGTCAAAGATTGTTGTAAAGAAATATTCATTTTAATCATTTTAGTTTTATTTTAATTTTATTTATATAGAGTAGAAAATTATTTACAACATAATCTCTTATAAGATTTCAACAACATGACATATTATTTATGTTTTGACACATCACATCAACACTTACTATTTACCACCAATTAACATCGTATATTTTTTTTTTATTTACTTGATGTATTTTGTTTTATATAAAATTGATTCTCATAATAAAATATAAGCAGGTATGAGTTATCAGCGGTAAGATGCGTATATGAGAAAAATAGGAGTTGCTTTCAACATCTTCAGGACATTTCTATAGTTATATATATAATAATATTTAGAGATATGTATATGCTTTAACCCAATTGCATTTATCTTCTTAAATAACTATTTTATTTTTCTTCTATAAACATAATATGTTTTGTACTTAATCATGAAATGTTATTTTACAAAAAAGGATTAGAGTAAACTTTAACTTTATTATAGTTTCTTTTAACATAGTAAAATACATTAGAAATTGTTTTATGTTAACCCATTTATTATTATTATCTATGTCAGATACTTAGACAGTGAAACTTTGTAGCATAAGTGAAATTATTTTTGACTCCAAAAGAAGTAGATGACAGTTTTTTTTTCTTTTATGAAAACTATTAAAAATATGATGGCAAAAAGTAGCCTATAAACACATTAATTGATGAACCTAGCAGTACCATGTGTTACTCAGTATCGTGCCTACTGAAAAACACAAAAAAACCTTGGCTTTGTGTATCATTGTAACATATAAACACATTTTTACATATTTGTAAAACTATCAAATAGGTATAGTAGAAGAATAGTTGTAAATGAACTCATAAAAATAGATAAAACTAAGGTCACAACACAACAAAAGTTTTTTTTTGTTTTGGTCTTAAAACAAATAATATTACAACACAATTATATCATGGCACATCTAATCTCTTCCCATCTTTTTTCTCTTGTCTGTTGGAACCACACAACGACCAATCGAGAATCTTGTTCACTCGTTTTAGATGCTTGGTCTCACGTTCAGACAGTTTTCCAGCTTCTGTCTCAGACTTATCAGCCTGGTTCACACATCGTTAACCAATCAGTGTCAAAAATGTTATAATTCAAAAAAATGTTAAAAGAACTTCACAAATTTGTTTAACTGTTTAAGGCTCAAGGAAAGATACAACGACAGTAAAAGAAAATTTTCAGATTATATACTTGGGACCAATAAGAATACTTCCAAAGGGGGTTTTCCTATTAAGGTTCTTAATATATGTGTTATATATATATATATATTATATATATGTATAAGTAATTGTGGGATCCATAATTTTTGTGGAACCCTATAGGTTAAGGTTCTTAGAAGAGGGTTTTAAGAATCCTTAAGACCCTTATTTATGGGATCCACAATAATTTTGGATCCCACAATTATTTACGCATATATATATATATTAAGAATCCTAATGCGGAGAACCTCCATCAGAGGTGGTCTAAGATATCCAGAAGCTGTAGATTTCATGTGTGATGGAAGGGTGGGTCTGATAGAGCGTCAATCCATTGACCGATGAAACGTTCTTTCCTGAAGTAGAAACCAACCATAAAAAAATAAACATGTAAATGTATTAAGTATCACCAAAAAGAAAATATAAAAAAACAATGTGTACCTCTCTAGTGTGAAGGAACAGTATCTATCTCCAGGCTTCTCGAAGTTGTTCTCTTTCTCAATAATACACTGCAAAACAGATTTTGAACTTTTAGATCATATGTTTTCTTTTCTGAACAATCCTTAGGAAACTGAAAACAGAGTTGAATTCAAGTTCAATTTGATTACTGACCCTCTCACGTTTTCGATAGCTGGCTGCAGGTGGAGTTAGATACTTCTTTGCATGGCGAACCGGGTCATACCTTGAAGGGAAGTAGTTAACCTGCACCAAACCACCTCTTGTAAGAAAAAGATATTCTAGCTTCATGGTTTCATAAGCTACTTGCCTGGTCCCTTACGAAATTAGTTTTAACTGCTTCAGACCATAAACATATATACAAGGAAAGATACAATGACAGTAAAAGAAAATTTTCAGATTATATACTTGGGACCAATAAGAGCACTTCCAATTGGGGTTTTCCTATTAAGGTTCTTAACATATGTGTTATATATATATATATATATTATATGTATAAGTAATTGTAGGATCCATAATTTTTGTGGAACCCTATAGGTGAAGGTTCTTAGAAGAGGGTTTTAAGAATCCTTAAGACCCTTATTTATGGGATCCACAATAATTTTGGATCCCACAATTATTTACGCATATATATATATATATATATATATATATATATATTAAGAATCCTAAAGCGGAGAACCTCCATCAGAGGTGGTCTAAGATATCCAGATGCTGGAGATTTCATGTGTGATGGAAGGGTGGGTCTGATAGAGCGTCAATCCATTGACCGATGAAACGTTCTTTCCTGAAGTAGAAACCAACCATAAAACAATAAACATGTAAATGTATTATATCACCAAAAAGAAAATATAAAAAAACAATGTGTACCTCTCTCGTGTGAAGGAACAGTATCTATCTCCAGGCTTCTCGAAGTTGTTCTCTTTCTCAATAATACATTGCAAAACAGATTTTGAACTTTTAGATCATATGTTTTCTTGTCTGAACAATCCTTAGGAAACTGAAACAGAGTTGAATTCAAGTTCAAGTTGATTACTGACCCTCTCACGTTTTCGATAGCTGGCTGCAGGTGGAGTTAGATACTTCTCTGTATGGCGAACCGGGTCATACCTTGAAGGGAAGTAGTTAACCTGCACCAAACCACCTCTTGTAAGAAAAAGATATTCTAGCTTCATGGTTTCATAAGCTACTTGCCTTGTCCCTTACGAAATTAGTTTTAACTGCTTCAGACCATAAACATATATACTAAAGCTTACCACCAGCACTAAAAAATTTCTCAGCCGCAGATATCAGAACCGGGTTTTTCTTCACCAACAATCTATAAACATAGAAAACGCATTTACATTTAACACTAAATCTCTCGTTTTAAGACACAACTAGATCTTGACCCGTGCAACCGCACGGGTATTTATTTTCATTTATATGTACATAAACATTTTATATTTACTTGAAGAATGGTATGCATATTTTCAAATGTGTATATGAATTTTCAAACACAATAATATTAAAATTTTACTTGTTTTGCCTAATTAATTTTTTAGATTGTTTCATGTATTTCTATCTCGTTATATATATATATATATATATATATATATATATATATATATATATATATATATATATATATATTGGCTTTGTGTTTGATTATTAAAATCATAAATATATGTAAAATTTGGTAAAATAGAAATTTTTTGTCATGTCCAAAGATATAACGTTTCACAAAATTGTAAAGTTTAAACTTATATCTTATTTAGATTAAATATTATCAAGTAATTAAACATTTAGTATTAGTTATTATGAAAAAGAACTATCAAATATAATTACAATTTAACTATTAAATATTAAACAAATAACATTGACATATATTTAATTATATTAGATATGAATTTTTATTATTTAAACATAAACTTATATGTAGTTTGATTTAAGCATTACAATTAAAAAATCATTTTGATAGAAAATATACAAATCATATCTATCAAAATATAATATATATCATATAAATTTCCACAATATATAGTATCCATCTTTAAAATATTATTACAAATTTTCGTTAACTATAAGACAGAAATTTGGGAAGTTGCTATGAGAATATTAAATTGAATTTTGTAGATGGACGATTTTCTTAATTAAATATGGAAACCAGTTGAGGATTTTGTGCTAAGTTAATATAGTGATATCTTTTATTTATCTGACACAATATGTTTGACGTTAATGAAGGGAAATAAATGTGACACATGTATTACAAACAATGATTTTCTAGTGATAGTCCATTTTTTTAAAAAATCACACATGAATCAAAGTCATGACTTCTGTTTTAATATATAGGATGTACAAGTAAAAATGGTACCGAGGTACTGAATACTAACCGAGAGAAAATTTTTGTTCAGAATCTGTAGATCATCAACCACTAACTCAAATAGATTCTCCAAAGATATTGGATTTTTGACTCTTTCCTCAGATTGATCATCACTGTTTTATCTTCACCAAGACCTGGACAATCATCATCTTTCTCATCATAAACCATCAAAATCCAGAGTCGAAACAGAGCAATCAGTCAATTACTTAACCAAACGAAACAAATCAATCATTCAATTCATTGTTTTAAGAAAAAACCTAAGAAACCATACAATTTGATACAGTAAAAGAAGAGGGGCCACGTCAGCAAGTCAGTTGGGGAGTGTTTGTTACATGCCATCTCAGCAAGAAGTATCGAGGAAGTTTGTTAGATAAAAAGAAAAAGAAATTATTCATTTAGATTCATTCAGAAATTTGTAACCATTCCTAGTTCTCTCTCTGAGATTTTCTCGGGAAAATATTCACATCTGCTGGGAATTAGTTATCGACTTCCCTCTTTGTGAGTATAGGATCGGTGTTCTTGTAAACATTGGATTCTCGCTATTGATTCTAATAAAAAGTGTGGTTTTACTCTATGAAAGGTATCAGAGCCCACTGATTCTCAGATACAAGGCGGAAACTCGTTCGCAATCAATTGTGATGGCAACAGCTCGCGAAATCGGAGAAAGCTTGGGATCTAAAATCGATATGATGATGGAGAAGACTCAAGCTCTGGAGAGTTCGATTGCAGAGCAGAATTCGAAGATTTAAGATCAGAACATAAGACTGGAGAAACACGTCACTGATATGGTTGAATCGTTTCGACTTATGCACGAACAACACAATCGTCCGTCTACGAGCGTTGATGTGAAAGGGAGAAGAAACTCTTCAGGTACATCAACAACTCATAACATTCATTCACCCAACGTAGATCTGGGAAGAGGAAGATCGAACTATTCTAGAATGACTAGGTTATCGAAACTAGACTTTCCCAGGTTCAACGGTGAAGAATTGAAAAACTGGTTGTATAAGGTAAAACAGTTTTTTGTGATGGATAACATGCCAGATGATATCAAAGTGGGACTTGCATCAATTCATTTTGATGGATTAGCCTCCAAATGGCGTCAAGCGCTGACTCAGTCGGACATTTGTCCAACAATCATTCATCATTGGCCTTCGTATAAACTGATGTTGATTGAAAGATTTGAAGAACTGTTTGATGATAAAATTGCAGAATTAAAACAGTTGACGGAGAATGATGGTATAATGAATTACCATGGGAAGTTTGAAACAATAAGAGCTAGAGTGAAGTTTTCAGAGGAATATTTGGTGAGTGCGTATCTGGCAGGTCCGAGACTTGATACACAGATGCATATCAGAATGTTTCAACCTCAAACCGTGAGACAATGCCTTATGTTAGGAAGGTTGTATGAAATGGCTCATCCAACAAAAACTGGAAGTCAGAATTGGGTGAAACCTACTAATCAGAGTAAGAGTACTTTGCCTTTTAAGAAGGATGTTGAAGATACAATGGGTTACCCATGGAGGAAGAATAAGCAGAAATTACAGGAACCAAAACCTTTCTTTCACAAGAAGAAATGAGTAAAAGAAGAGCAGAAGGATTATGTTACTTTTGTGGCAAGAAGTACACTCCAGGCCACTATCTTAAACACACAAAAAAAAAACTCAGTTGTTTATGATTGAAGGAGAGGAAGAAGTTGAAGGAGGAATTGAGGAAGTGGCAGGTGATCAGGAAGGTTAGAAAGTAGGCGAAATTGCACATATATCAGTGAATGCTGTCGCTGGGATTTCAGATTATCAGACGATGCGTGTGAAGGGTATTCATGGCAAACGTGCCTATTCATTCTGATTGATACCGGGTCCACTCACAACTTCATGGATCAGGAAGTGGCAAATAAGTTGGATTGTCAATTGTTACCAGCTGGGTCATCGAGAGTTAAAGTAGCTGATGGAAGTAAACTCTCAGTTAGTGCCAAAATATCAAACTTTGAATGGTGTTGTCAAAGTGTATAGTTTAAGGCTGACCTCATGGTCATTCCTCTGGGAGGTTCTGATATGATTTTGGGGGTCTAAAGGTTGCAGCAATGGGGTCCAGTCACATGTGATTTCCAAAGCTTAACAATGAAGTTTAAAATGGGTAGTAAAGCAGTGCTGCTACATGGGATTCGACAGAATTCTGTTCGAGAAATGAGAGCAACCAAGATCAATAAACAGCGGGAAGAGAATATTCAGTTGTCTATGATCTGTACACAAGTTATTGACGAAGGTGTACAACCAGAGTTGTGTTCTTTGGAGTTAGGAAATGATAATGTGGAGTCTCCCGCGGTTATAACCAAATAGTTGAAGGAGTATGGAGATATATTTGAAGAGTCGAAGTCGTAACCTCCTTTTTGTTCCAACCATGGCCACAAAATACCTTTGCTAGAAGGTTCAAACCCTATCAATCAACGACCTTATAGGTATTCTATGTACCAGAAAAACGAGATAGACAAGATGGTACAAGAACTGTTAGCCGCTGGGACAATTCAAGGCAGTTCTAGTCCATATGCATCTCCGGTTGTTCTGGTGAAGAAAAAAGATGGAACTTGGAGGTTATGTGTGGATTATAGAGGGCTGGATATGATGACAGTAAAAGACAGGTTCCCTATTCCATTGATTGAAGACCTTATGGATGAGTTGGGAGGGTCATGAGTGTATTCTAAAATTTATTTACGAGCTGGTTATCATCAGGTTTGGATGCATCCAGCCGACATCCACAAGATTGCTTTTAAAACACATAGTAGACACTATGAATACATTTTGATGCCCTTTGGCTTCACAAATTCGCCGACCACATTCTAGGGACTCATGAATTCAATTTTCAAAGCCTTACTAAGGAAGAGTGTGCTTATATTCTTTGACGACATCTTGATATATTCATCGTCATTGGAAACCCATACTCTACACTTTCAGTTCCAAAAAATCTGAAACAACTGAGAGGGTTTTTGGGGCATGCTGGATATTATAGAAGGTTTGTAAAGAACTTTGGGATCATTGCGAGGCCATTGAAGGCATTAACAAAGAAAGATTGTTTTGTGTGGTCTAAAGAAACACAAACTGCCTTTGCAAAATTCAAAACAACACTCTGTGAAGCTCCGGTATTGGCACTTCCTCAGTTTGATCTCCAGTTTATAGTAGAGACAGATGCTTGTGGTTATGGGACTGGAGCAGTGTTAATGCAAGAAGGTCATCACGTGGCCTACATTAGTCGGCATTTAAAAGGGAAACAACTGCAATGGTCCATTTATGAAAAGGAACTCCTTGCGGTTGTCTTTGCGGTTCAAAAATGGCACCATTATTTGTTAATGGGACATTTCATCATTAAGACTAACCAACGAAACTTGAAATAGCTCTTGGAACAACGCCTCAACACTCCTATACAACAACAATGGCTTCCTAAACTCTTAGAGTTTGACTCAATGGCGGACCCAACATCTAATTTTACCTGTGTCATAAATATATAATTTTCTAAAATATTACAATAAAAGTGTCAACTGGGGGAATTGAAGCCGGGTTGGGGGTGTCAAAGACATCACAAACACCATTTGAGCTATTGATTCTTTACAAAATTGGGTACAAAAGAATGATACACAGAAGAAGATGTGAACTGGATCAGTGGAGCTGGTTTTCAGAGGTCTGGAAACCAAGGAGGATACAAAAACTTCACTAGACAGAAGAGCAACTTCAACCAGAGTTCACAGAAGCCTACCAACTACAACAGCAGCAACCCCAACAACAACAGGAGTTATGGTAACTCATTCTACACAAATCCACCCCCACCCACCCAAGACAGTAAGCTAGAAGAGATGCTAGACAAAGTTCTGGAGAGTCAACAGAAATTTCAGATGGACTTCAATGGAAAGATCGATTCTATCTACACCAAGCTTGATGGTTTGAGCACCCATGTGAAGCAGTTGGAAACTCAAGTTGTTCAGACATGAGAAGCATTAAAAAAGCAAGAAACTTTAGCGAAGGGAATGGGAGAATTTGCTACTCTCCATGATGTGCATGCCCTCTTGGATGATGACTTTTGGCAGAAGCTGACAGAATCTGAAGATGAGATGATACAGACTACGAACTCGAACTCGAATACTATCGATCGATAGGTCATCCTGAGAATCGATCGATGCCTTCTAAAGCACAGCGATCGATAGACTTTGCCGAGTGTCGATCGATGGACTTAGAGCGAATCAATCCCATATGTTTGATTTTGCTCCAAACGGGGTTCGAACCCAAACTCAAGAACATACACCATCTATCTCTTCCACACCACGAGAGCACGTCGTCATCCTCTTCCACACCATAAGCTCAAACCTGCTTGCCTTCTCGTCGTACTCTTCTCACCAACAGCTTGGACCCGACTAGCCATCCGTCATTCATATCCATCTTCATAAGCCAATGGTGTAGCTCTGACTCTGAGTACAAAGAAAGACGAGATCTAAAGAGAAACATAGATAAATAAATGAGTTTCTGAAATTAAGAAGTGGAAAGTCTAATATCAATGTTAAATAAAAAAGAAAAAGAAGAAGCCACGTTTAGATTGACAAAAATCTTTTAATTCTCTTACTCTTTTCTGTTTTGATAGTTTCTATTTAGTTAAAAGGTATATTCGAGAAATCAACTATAGAAATTGTGTTATAAATACAATGTGCTATTTTGTGTAATTGAAAACACAAAATGTGCCTTTTAAGGTAATTTTCTCAACCCTAAACACCTTGTTTTTAAATGCCACAAAATTTCCACTAATAGGAAGAGACTGGGAAGTAAGAACAGGGAGAGAACCTAGGCAAGAAGCTTAAAGGGAACACTGACCAAAAAGAAGAATAGGATCAAAATCATGGTCCAACGGTTAATTAGGTTCGTGATATCAAATTATGTTCAATGAAATAATGCTGCAGATATATTGGTCAAAGATCAAAAGAATAGTCACATTGGGGTTTGTCTTTCATTTCTATATTCCATTCAGCATTTTAATCCCATTCACGAGGACAATAAACTCTTTGCATCAGTTTTATGGAACTCCACTGAGTTTAAATTATATATACACGTTATCATGTAAACATCTCACTCAAATGATTATCGAAAGTCAACTTAGTCATACAAAAGCAGAGCAACATATAAGACCAAAACTCTTTACAACATATATGCTGATATTAAGCCTCTCATCAGGCTCAAAACAAATAAAATCAAGTGGAAATAGCAGTAAGTCATTTTAATGAGAGAAAATTACAGTTATAGATACATTCTCACTTTTTAATATCACTCAAGGACACAATCTGCTTGCAACACATTTTTGATGAGTTGTTTATCTTTTTTACCCTCAAGCAAGACCTTCTCTCTTTTTACTAAGATATTTTCTTCATAACTAAATCATAAAACAAAACTTCCCCCATCTTAAGAAACAGCAAACTCTATCTCACTACTCTGTCGTTGATGAAGATCTGGAATTCGCCTAAAGATGCTTACTCTTTCGTCGATGAAGATCTGCAACCATATCCCCACCGATATCCCACTGCTCTGTCGTTTATCTCCGGAGATTCCCTAAGACCACCGAGACCCCACTGCTGTTTTGTTATTCTCAAGCGTTTTCCTGATCCCCCTCTTCTGCTTTAACCTTTATAAATCCAGAAACTCCAATCCGTCTGTGCTCTATTGTGACTCTGTTTTCGATTTCATAAATCTGTTTAACAGATTCAGACATGCAAGGTTAGTTTCTCGGCATATTTTAATTATATTTAAGCTTAGTTTGAAGATTTGATTTCAAAAAATGGCTCACGGGATACTATACCAATTCATGGACAAAAAACTCATCGTTCATCTTTAAAAGTTTGATCTTTCCCCTATGTATATATTTTACGAATCTGCTGTTGGTATCTTTTCTGGATATGGATTTGTGGAACTGATCTTTTTGGGAGGAGAACAAAAACTCTATCAAAGCTTGCAGGCATTTCCTATAGTTACTTTCTGGAGATTTGAATTTAGGCACCGTTGGTCAGTTTAGATTTTACAGCGTGGATTTAGGTAATATGGGTACTTTTTCATTGGCTTATTTATATCAATTTATAAGCTCTGTTTAGATTTTACAGCTCTTCTTTCTCATTTTTGCTATACCAAAGTGTGTTCCTTTAGATTTATAAGGTAATAAGAACAATGAGTTGATCTTGATTGTGCTATTGGATCTATATTTTTAATGAGTTTAAGCTATATTTGTGTATTAAAATTAATTTCCAATGTGTGCGCAAAGAGAATACAATTTGGTGGTCGTACATTGGTTTCCTTAACAATAAACTCTTTGTCGTAGGTTGACACAAGGTGGGTTCTAAGTCAGTTGTCGACATGTTTGAAGCTTCCTCCAAGGTTTATTATTATGGTTTCCACATAAATGATCACATGAATAGGTTAGAATCAAATGCATATAAAACCACTTATGCATCATCACCAGACATGGGTGGTCAATTCATGGTTTGAGAGTTTCATTGCATGAGTTTGTTTGTGGTGGTAGGTGTTACTGGAGGTGCAGATGTTTTTCTTGTTAACCACATCCATCACCTCACTTTTCGCTGGTAACCACATCCACATGCCTTCTGTCCACACATCACTCCACTCCTCGCAAGTCCCAGAAAACCACATCCACATACCTCTTGTCCAAAACATCACCATCCACTCCTTGTAAGTCCCAGACAACCACATCTACATGCCTCCTGTCCACAACGTCCCCACCCACTCCTCGCAAGTCTCAGACAACCACAACCACATCCACACACCCCCTGCCCCCACTCTCTTTTGTAATCCTAACCAGCTTTTTCTAGGCGAAAACATTCCTAGACTAGACTTTAGTGTGTAGTTATTCTTATTTTGCAATCAGCTTAGTTTTGTGTCCACCCACATTCATTCGCAAGTCTTTTTTCAAAAAAAAAAATCAATTAGTTTGGAAACCTAAAAAAGTTAAAAAGTCGGTTATCACACCTACTAGATTCAAACCAATTAGTTTGGAAATCTAACAAAACTAAAACAACCATTTACTCTCCACGATTGCTTCCTTTATTCAGACTGAAATAATAAAATAAAAACTCTTCCATTTAGAAAGAAACTTACAAATCGTGTGGTTCTGAACACATCAGACTATTCTATAAACATGATTCTCATTAATAGCCATATCTACCAAGCTAAACTAACAAAAACCAACTAAAATGTTCCTTCTTTCTCAGCTACACGGGACTATTTAACGTCACTCACGGGAAGGATAAATATGTCAAAAACATGCCTCGAATTCATAAATTGTGTCTTGCAAGCTGAATGTGTCCAATTATGTAATGAAAGTGACAAAAGTGTCTAATTTGGTAAGTCACTCTTTTAATAAGTCTCCTTGTGTATCTCTAGTTCCTCAAAGCCTGAGAATTCTCTTTGGTGATATGTGTGATAATATTTCTTTGACACTTCAAAAGACTAAACTTCATCCTAGGATCAAAGACACAAGCTTAGAAATTATACTGTAATAGAAATTCTTACTCGTATATAAAAACTTAAGCAGAAAATCATACTTTGAATATAAATTGTAAATCTAGTATTATCAGAAGAAAAGGGATGAGAAGAATCTTATTATAGAGTTCGATTATTTCAGTTTACCTATTTTGATTGTACCTTCTTCTGGAAAGTTAACTGAGCTCACTCAGCCTAAGAATAGTCACATTGGGGTTTGTCTCTCATTTCTATATTCCATTCAACATTTTAATCCCATTCACGAGGACAATAAACTCTTTGCTTCAGTTTTGTGGAAGTCCACTGAGTTTAAATATATATACACGTTACAAGTAGGAGACAGATCCAAGATGGAATATGTGTCCAGCCTTACAGTACGTAATTTACCAACTACTGAACTTTCTACATTCCCAGAAGAATTGAATCATGTGCTTATACACATCTTCTTTGGCACTTGTGCTAAGCACAAAGTCAATGTGACCATAATTCTCAAGATATAGCAACTCTGGTCTCGAAGGTAGCTTGGCGAGAGTACGTTTCACATCTGTCACGTCTGCTAAAAGATCATTTCCACCGTACCCCATCCACATTGGTAATGCTGCCGGAACGAGGCTAAGTTCGAATTCCGGAGGTTTTGATGTCCCATAAGTCAATAGATTTTTCAGAAAGCCGTAGTCATATTGTGCAAAGCTCCCCTTCCGAATCACTTGAATGCATTAGAATCAAAATCAAAAAGGGAGTGTGGATTAGTAAAGCCAAGGCCATTGAACACAAACATACAAACTATGAAAAATGAGTATCGATCTTACTTTGGAAAAGATGTCGCAAGTTCTTAACAGATGATGGGTGAGGCTCGTAATCTAGATAGTATTCTATCCTCGAGGCATTGAAACAACAATTATTCCCTAACATTTGTCAACATTATCAAACACTTTCCACTATCATACACATACATATTATCCCAAGACATTATCAAACACTTTCCACTACTTTGCATTTTTCTCTGCAAATCTGTGTTCTTTTGCTCTCAAAAACATAGTTATGGAATAATAAAAACGATTACAGGAAGAGAAAGACAAACCTGTTATGGATGAGAGGAAATCAGTGCAATCCATATGCCCTTCGCATAACAAGTCAACAAGTTTAACTAACGTATCACTGAAATCAGAGAATACAAGCTACAAGATGTTAGTAAAGAAAAGTCACACTATACCAACACACACAAAAGCTAGATGAGACACAAGTCACAACCTTCGAAAGTTTATTTGATGCAGGCCAAGAGCAACGACCATCTGGAAAGAGAACCAACCAAAAATGTTAACTTGGTTATCTGAAATTGCTTTCTACGGTATTCAAGAGACAAGAATACCTGATCGAGATGCATAAAAACCATTCTTTCTACAAGTGGAGCTGAGACATGATCCAAATACGATATTGGACAAAGCAACGCAGCTGCTTTAACCATTTCCGCAACACGTGGCTGAGTAAGAGCAGCAAATGACATGATAGTCCCCTGTCGAAAGAAGCTGAAAAAGTTAGTTTATTAATCAGCAAGAGGGAACCTTTATTTAGTTCTAGAAGAACGATGACCTGAGAATGTCCAACAAGGAAGATTTTGGAGTTTGCAACTGAATAAATATACTGAACCATTTCTGCCAAGTCATACATAGCCAAATCTTGCCAACTCCAATCCCAATATTCCTGTATATAGAAAAGTAAAACATCACATACAAATACTAATAGGCATATACATAGAGAGGAGCAAACACACATTTATATCTCACAGCGAAGTTCTGGACATACCTTATCAGTTACAGACAAAGTTACATGCCCATAACTATAACGTGTACCACGAACGTTTCCCACCCAAACATCGAACCCGTGATCAGCAAGAATGAAGCCTAATGATTCTTTAGGGGAATCCAAGAACCACACATCTCCAGCCTGCCACAAAAAGACAAGATATTTAGTAGTTTTGTCCTTTACGTTGGGATTTTAACCCAGCAAGCAACGATACCATAAATAGACCGTGCTGAAGCAGAACAGGTGGATCATATTGAAATGTTAGATTCTGAGCAGGAGAAGCCACCCGTTGAAGAGCTAGTATGTACCCATCTTTCGTTTGAACCTAAGAACAAAAAATATGAATGGTACAATCCAAATACAAATCTTGATCTGACACTAGAGAGCGATGAGATTACAGTGTGTTCGGTGCAGGAGTAACCGGCTGGATGAACGAGATCAGCGCAAAGAGAATTGACTGGAGATCCACGACGAATATGGGATTGTGTTACGGCGGAGGATATCGTGAAAGCAGTCAACACGGAAACGAGAAACAACTTCATTATCGCCGGAGACGACGTACTGTTCCTATCTTAAATTACAAGTCTACCCTCTTCGTTTATAAATAGGACAATTTTGTTTTTGTGAGTGTGATTGGTTGAGATATATATCTGTAAAATTTTTACTATAGAATTTTATCGGTAGAAGAATTAAACACAAAAAATAACAAAAGTAGAAAGATATTCCTACAGCAATATTTTTTTCTCTATAGCATTAAAAATAGTGTTTTATAAAATAAGGGTGCTACATCTATTTTTAAAAAAAATTTGACTTTAGCTTTATAAATTAGATAAAACATGATTGGTAACTTTTATGGTTGTAGATGAAAATCTATACTATATTAAAAGGGAGATATACTCCACGGAGAGGCTATCCACGTAGGATTAAATATTTAACCAATGAAAGATCCTTAATTTGCCACGTCAATCCCCACATGAATTTTTTTTTCTCTGTCGAACGAACAAGGAAACTGAGGGGACACTTTCTTTCCCGATTACAAAAATCATATCATATAAGCCCATCTCTTCTGTCTCCTGTCTTCGTATAAGTTTTCTTCGCCGATTGCACTATGTCTTGCTTCTTCTCCAATTCTTGGTCGATTAACGGCGGCGATATTGACAACTTTCTTGCGAGGACGGAAACTGTTTGAGACACTCTCAAGTTCTGTGACGTCCGAGTCTGGAAATTTCAAGAAAAGGAAGTTTGATAGCTTCTTTACATAGACTAAGGTTCGTAATGTAGCTCTGTTAAACAAAAAACCTAAACGTTGAATTCTACAAGTGAAAAAAAACAGATCTTACTTTGAGATTCACTTAGGATCAAATGCTGGAATAGACCAGTTGAAGGCAAAAAAATCTATAATAGACCCCTTTTTTTTCATTAAATTTGTATTTAAGAAAAATAGAAAAAACAGGAAAATGACCATTATGCTTATAAAAGTTGATAAAATTACCAACCCAACCAGTTACAATTCGACCCAGATAGCATCATTTGGATCTGAATCGGATCTTTTCCCAAAACCCTAATTTTTTGTTCTTCCCCCTTTTCAACCATTGATGCTTCAGTTTTTTTCAAGTTTTTCATCTCAATTTTTTTTTCCAAACAATCTCGATTCTCTTTCTTGGTTTGTATCTTCTACATCAACAATCATCATTTTCTTAATCAATTACCAATTTCTCTTTTTATTCTCCATTGATGCTTCTTCATCCAAAATTGAAACTATAGTAATCATTCTTATCTCAAATATATCAATCTTAATCATTTCTGGTCAAATCCATCGACCCACCATCCTCTTCAATCAATTTTCTATGTTTTTAAACCGAACTTATTATCAATGTATGGTATTCACGACAATGAAGAACACAGAGTATTACTAGTATAACTAGTATAACTCAAACGAATATAACTGGTACAACTAAAGTGTGTATAACTAGTATAATTGGTACAACTAGAATGCTTATAATTAGTATAACTGATACAACTAGAATATATAAATTTTAAAAACTAAGTAGTTGTTACCAGTATTACTAATCTGGTAAATAAAACATAGATGTAAACGTTATACCAATATACCATTTACGGTTTGATATATAAAACGTGATGAATAATTTATCATAATCAACTATTAATATTCGATAATTTACAATTTCACCCCGTTACTTTTGCATTATGATCTTATGAAGCAAAGGATAAACGTATAAAAGATCATAATGCAGAAGTAACATGGTCAAATTGTAATTTATTGAATATTAATGGTTCAGTATGTGAATAAACAAAAAACATGCGATTATGTCTCTTCTTCTAAACCTCAGTCGTCGATCGGCCAGAAGCCAAAAGTGATGACGGAACGAGAAAGAGAAAGAGAGAGAGAGAGAGAGAGAGACAATGGCGTCGAGATTTATGAACAGAGCCGTCTCTAGAACCGAATCCTTCTTTGCTATTAAATCCGAAGAATGCAGTAGCGAAGCTCAAAAAGACTCTAATGGAAACGGGTTTAGAAGAGTATACTACAAAATATGATGCATAAGACATCACGAGTTTGAAAAAGACCCATAATCATTCATGTTTGGTGATTAAATTACGACAATTATAGTACAACCGGTTTCACTTGGTAGTAATAGTAGTATTACTAATTCAATTATGATAACAGTTGATTTGATTTTTTTTTAACAATGATGGGTAGACTTCTCATCCCCAAAATCTATTTTCTTGATACAGACATGAAAATAAGAGATATGATGAAGTTTTCATATTTTGATATCAAAAGATGACATGCAAATGTTTGTTGTATCTCCATATTTTATTTCTAATAGCTTATGATTTTTATCAACAGAAATATACTTCCATAAAGAGAATGAAAGCATATAAGACACAGAATTAGAAGAAAAATAGATTATGTATGACCGGTATAATTGATACGACTAGTACAATAAAGAGAAAAATAGGTTGATTGACATAAATAATGCAACAAAGAGAAAAATATGTATAACTTTTGGAATATATTTTAAAAACTTATGTTGCTTTTGGTGTTAAAACGTATGTTCCTTTTGATAATAATACTTATGTTCCTTTTGAAGCTAAACTTCTTTTTATGGGATAGTTTTTGAAACTATTAACAATTTATGTTCCTTCTGAAAAAATTGAGTTTAGTTAAATGGTATAACTAGGATAAAAACTCGACATTAGTGATCAATCATAATGGTATGACTATGCAACAATATTTAAAAATGGTATAACTAGGATAAATACTCGAAATTAGTGTTCAGTCAGAATGTTTAAAATATGATACACTAAAATCGAAAAAACTAGTTTGTAAATATAAAATAAGAACAGAAAAAATTGTAGATAGTTGTACTAGTTTTTTAGTTATACCAGTTTGTACATAGTTGTACTTTGGCAGTAAAATCGAAAAAACTAGTTGTACCACATAAAATTAAAACTTAACTTAGTTGTACCATTTCTGTATGTGTACATGACTTTGCCCCAATACATAGAAATCATCAATTTTGTTAAAACACCCTTGATGTGTATTTTCCAAAAAATATGTGGACAAAGAAGTTAACAAACCTTAAAAGTATAAGGTAGATCATGCAAACTTATGTGATTGTGTTATATTTGCCAAAAAAAAAAAAACATTGCATATAAAAATAAAAGTACCTAAAAACTCATTCGTTGAGGCAGCTGATTATTTTTTATCATATGCAACACCCTATAAAATATTAAAATTTCAGAATCTACATAGTTTCACTAGTTGTACTAGTATGTTCTTCCTGGTATATATAACGTAGTTTGACTTGTTTTACCAGTATTACGATACGTAGTTATACCAGTAGTATCAGTATTACAACACAGAAACATGATTGTTATTTTATATAAAATTTCATATATGTTTATATGTTTTTGTTAAACATATGTGTTTTCCCAAAAATATGATTTTGTTAAAATGCATTTCATATATGTTTTCCCAAAAATAAGTGGACAAAGAAGTTAAAAAAAAACTTAAAAGTATATGGTATATCATATAAATTTATGGAGTTGTGTAATAACTTTCAATTTTTTTAAAAAAAACTTCAAATATATTAGGAGAAAATTTTCTGACTACGTACCACTTTGGATATTTGACAGTGTTCTCATATGGAATACCAAATTGGTTTGCCAATTTTTGAAATGTCCAAATTGTACCAGTTTTACCAATAATACTAGTCTAATATATAATAAAAATTATAACAATTATATCAATTGTTTATATGTTTAATTTTAGAAGTTGTACCAGTATTTTCATAATAATATAGCTAATTTACTTAAAAAACCTTAAAAATATAATATATATATATATATAAATATATATAATATAAAATTAAGAGTGTAATGTAATAATTTAACAAAAAAAAATAAAAACTTCAAATAAAATAGATGAAATTTTGTCATCATATACCAATTAGGATATATGTTTGTTTATTTCTTATGTAAAATATGATTATTAGTCGTTTCAATTATAATAGTTACATATTGTACATGAATTATAACATTTATATACCAGTTATACTAGTTATATCATTATTTAACATGTTTAGTTATACGAGTTATACTAGTTGTACCCAGTCTTCTCTTATCATCCGACGGCTCAGATTACATCTCGCATTATCTGATCTAATGGTTGACAGTGAACTCTCATTAATGGTAAAATGGTCATTTTACACCCTTTGGTCCATGGTAGATTTTTTTTGGATGTTATAGATTAGTTTTGGGCCATTTGTCCTTTAATAGATTTTTGTCCATTCACTTATCTGTCTTTGGGGTTTAGGTTTGTAATGAGAAGAAGACGATGATGATCAACAGAGGAGTATTAGTACAAGAAGAAGAAGAAGAAGAGAAGTCAATAGTAAAACAGCAAAACAAAGAGAGCAATAAAAGCATCATGAATATGAAGAATAAAGCCAAAGAAGAAGAAAACAATTGTTCTAACGATTCATCAAAAGTGACCAAGGAGTTGCAGAGAAAAGATTATATTCATGTTCGTGCTTGGAGAGGCCAAGCCACTGATAGCCACAACATTGCAGAACGAGTGAGAGAAACTCTTTAATTAACTTGTTATATTTTTATAACGTTGAGACTAATTATTTGATTGTTATTATAATGTGAAGGCTAGAAGAGAAAAGATCAGTGAGAGAATGAAGTATCTTCAAGCTTTAGTTCCTGGATGCGACAAGATCACAAGCAAAGCAGGGACGCTTGATGAGATCATTAACTATGTTCTGTCTCTTTAGAGACAAGTCGAGTTTATAAGTTTTAAACACATCTTTTATTTTTTTAAGAATATGAGTTTCTTTAGTTTGTATTCAAATATCTGATATTGTCTGAAACAGTTCTTATCGATGAAACTAGCAGCTATGAGTCCAAGGTTGGATCTAGATAACGATGAAATTTTTGCAAAAGAGGTTCTCTCATAGCTGCTAGTTTCATCGATAAGAACTGTTTCAAATCTCAAATGCTGCATCTTTTATGTCGTTTACGATCTTTTACATATATATGCTAAATAAACATCTTTTACGATTCCTTATAGTAATGATTTTTTTTTTCTGTAAAGAATGAACAAGAAACGAAGATGATACACTTTAAATGTTCTTATGATTTGATTATGATGTTGTTTTTGTTGGAAAGTGATAGATTATTGGTGTTCCTGGAGTTACAGAAGCTTTGTTTGAAGCTAGACAAGCTGCGATTGCTCAGGAAAAGACCAAATCGAATCAAACACCTCTGTTATACACTTGTGGCATCTGTAACAAATCTTACAGAAGCTCCAAAGCTCATGAGCAGCATCTCAAGTCAAAGGGCCACGTTCTGAAGGCTTCAAGCAACGAAGGAGAGGAGGATAAAGCGATCATTAAGCAGCTTCCTCCTCCTCGCCGTGTCGAGAAGAAACAACTCAAGGGTTTGACTGAGGAAGAGAGTAAGGATGAATGGATTGAGGTTGATTCTGATGAAGATTTGGAGGAGGCTGAAGAGGATATGGATGAGGATGATGAGGAGGAGGATGAAGTTGATGATATGGATGAGGATTTGGGTTGGATCCGAGTTGTTTTTTGATGTGTAATAAGAAGCATAAGACGATAGACAAGTGTATGGTTCATATGCATAAGTTCCAAGGCTTGTTCATTCCTGATATTGAGTACTTGAAAGATCCTAAAGGGTTTCTAACCTATGTTGGTTTAAAGGTATGTAGTTTTGTTTCGTCACGTTTATGTTCAGACAGATAAAGATCTTTGTCTCTCTTACAGGTCAAGAGAGACTTGATTTGTCTCCAGTGCAATGAACTGTGCCATCCGTTTAGCAGTTAGGAAGCTGTTAGAAAGCATATATGGAAGCAAAAAGTCACTGCAAAGTGCATTACAGTGATGGTGGTGATGAAGAAGATGCAGAGCTAGAAGAGTTCTACAGCAGCAAGTATCTTTCCTCTTCCTCTGTTTTAGTATCTTTTTATCATAGAAACTATTGTTTATATTGAATGTTTTGTTTGTATAGTTACGCTAATGAAGGCGAAAACCAGATGGTTTTGGCTGGTGAATCAGCTAATACCGTAAGGCGTTTTGGTGGGTCTGAGCTTGTGATCACCAAGAGAGGGGTGAACAAAGTAACGGCTAAAATTCTCGGGTCTCGAGAGTTCATGCGTTACTACAAGCAGAAGTCGCCACCATCTTCTCAGAAACACTTCGTCAACTCTCTAGCGATAAGGTTTGTTTTTTTACCCAGTCAGTGTTTCAATGTGTTGAAAAGAAAAAGGAAAAAGAGTTTGTTTATTGGTTAGGTGACTTCCGTGTGTAAAACTATCTTTGGAATAAAGATTTTATTTATGTGACGATGATGTATATTGTCTCACCAATCTGTCTATTTTGCGTAATTAATTCTTTTTTAAAAATGGGAATTTTGTAAAAATTGTTTACTTCTATGGAACCAATTGTTAAACCCGTGGCAAAAAAGTTCATGAATATTTTTTCTTTGAGAAATATATGAAACTGAAAAAGGAAATGATAAAGATTAATAATTGAATGTATAATGGTTTAGTAATCATAAGATTTATACATGAATTTTTCAATGAAACATAAAAATTACAAACGGTAGTATTGCGATTTTAAAGAAATTGAAAAAGTGAGTGGAAGAAAACCTTTTGCAACAAGCTACAGCTTTTCTGAGTAATTAATCCAATCCTTATACTACATTTTTTTTTAATCAACCTCAGAAATTTTGCTGTCCTTTTTTTGTTCTTCAAAAAAATAATTTGAGCTCTCCAAATCTGTTAAAAACACTTAGCAGTTGCAAAGATGAGTCTTCTTATTCACGTTTGCTATCGTGACAACACAGTTATCCCCTATATATTAATTGAGAAACATTTGAAAAGATGTAACCTCAAGTTTGTATTAATTAAAAAGTAACCTTGCTTAGTTGTCAATCAATTAGCATACTAATTAAACTGACGTGGCAGCTTTAGGTTCAATTGAAATTTGCTAGGGAAAAATAATTAGAGACGCATATAACGCATGTAACATAGTTTATATTTATATATATCGCACGCATGTAATGGAAGAAAAGGAAAATATACGATTTGATAACGATTTGCATATATTAACTATAATAGCTTCATTCCTTTTAATTTATGGAAGTGTATATGTAAAATGGAAATTACTTTGTGACCAAGTACATACTTAATGGTAAAGGCAAGTGTATATGTAAAATCTAAAACTTAATATGTTAACTTGGGAATTTATGTTAAAATTGATATATGCAAATCGTAAATATTAATAGTAATTATGGAAGACCCCTTACCTATTAATACTATCACCTACTATTTCATTCGACGTAATAAGGCACAAGAACAAATTTCTTTAAAAAATGACGACCATCAGTTCTGTTCTCGACTTGAAACCTTTCAAAAAGAACTGGAAGATCAAGGTTAAAGTTATTCGATTGTGGAAACATAATGCAGGCGCTTGTGGTAAAACCATAGAGATGGTTCTATGCGATATTAAGGTAGTTTGTTCAGAAGTTAATATGTTTTATATAATATTATATCAATTATTTTGTTCACTAATAGCTTTACCGTTTTTAATAATAAAACAAATATATATATATATACAGATTAAACTATATACCATATAAGATTACATAAATATTATAATTTCAAAATTTTCAATAAATTTACAAGAACATTTATAAATTATAAACTTATTAAATTTTTCACATTGAAATTTTTTGTTATCAATGATTTAAATATCTTAGTTTTTTTTTAATTTTATATTTTTAAAAGATATTAACAATCGATAATATGATTCTTTTTGGTATATACCATACAAACCGAATGGATGTGATTTTATAAAAACCATAGGATTTGGATATGGTTTGATTTATAATCGATTAAACTGAAACATGTAAATATGTATATATTTATAACGACGCATGAATATCTATTTGTTACAATTTAGAAGATGTAAATATGTATAGCTAACAATTTATTACAACTAAGACTTCTTATTTTGATCTTTTGATTTTTTAACAGTAACTAAATTGAAGTAAAGATTATAAATTTGATGGACAACAATTAGTTGAAATTCTTTACAACTTTTTTTTTATCTTTAAACAAACAGAGTTGTGTTCAATCGAAAACATATTGGTTTGATGAACACTAAATATGGAAGAATATAAAACTTTTCTTTCATGCTTCTGTTTTGTTTTTTATTTTTATTTTCAAAATTTAGTGTTTTGATATTAATTCTAGATTTGATCATTTTAATAGATGATAGAAGCTTTTTTTGTTTTTTATTCTTTTACTTAAATATATAATATTTTTTTAATAATTGACTCTGTGACAATATGACTCTAAATATGATCATATTATATATTTGTATAATATATAATATGATCTCAATTTAAATAATTATGTTTTTTGGTATAAAATTGAATAAACTGAAATCCGATGGTATATAAACCAAATCAAACTGAAGTACATATAGATTTAGAATAGTAGTTANTGACTCTAAATATGATCATATTATATATTTGTATAATATATAATATGATCTCAATTTAAATAATTATGTTTTTTGGTATAAAATTGAATAAACTGAAATCCGATGGTATATAAACCAAATCAAACTGAAGTACATATAGATTTAGAATAGTAGTTATATTTTAATGATCGAAATACCAAAAAATCGAGCCGAACCGAAACCCGATATCAAGATTGAACACCTCTAATCCGAATGAAACCGAACTATTGTTTCATTTTTAAAAAGATAATAAAAATAATAGCTTCATTCCGCGCAAGGCGCGGGTCTTATCCTAGTATATATTAAGTTACATAACATAACCGATCTATATATATGACCAAATATTTATTTAAGGCTACAAACGTTCAAGTTGAATAGAAAAACACTTAACTCAAAATTTATATTTATAAAAATTTGCAAACTAACTTTAATATAAACAAGCTTGTGATAACAAATTCATGTTAAAGCATAAGATGCATCATGATTGGTTATTCATTGTCTCTTATAAATTTTAAGATCTGACATTAATATGTAGTGTACATCTTAAATAGGATAAAAATAATATTATTTTCTTAGAATGTGTGAAAATTAAAAGAAATATATATAATTGTCTGCTTATATTGACACTATATTGATGTGTCATTATAATTTCTAAAAATAATAGTAATATATGTAGATAAAATTGTTGTAAAACAATTATGAATCTCAATGTTATCTAAATGTATGCATTTTTCATAATTTTTATTATTATTTTTATGTTTTGGTCCCAATTGTCTAAACTACCGCATTCTAAATAGAAATGTTTATATTTACCTTTAATTTGAAAAAATTAAATAGATACTTATAAGCATAGAACTAACTAATCTAGACTTAGAGTTTAGATTTGAGGAATATTGTAAAAGATGAGGTATATGACTTCAATAAATATATAAATAAATACTTACCTTTTTTAGAAATCGTTGTAACCGATTTTGACCCTAACAACTTGTTGTACCTCATTTATCTCATCTTTCCCATATGAAGGATTATCCTTTCTCCATCTAGTAATTTCGTGTCCACAATTGACCAACTTATTTACAAAATTTATGTCATCTGTTCCTCCTGCCTCTAACCACCTCCTATCAATAGCTTCCATTAAACCATCTTTCCCAATTCATCTTTTATCAAACTGAAATTGCCCTCTTCGTTTTGGTACCTTGTCCCTGAGAATTGCCACTACGGGACAATGATCAGATCCGATCATACGTAAGTATACTGTAAAAGAGCATGGGAATAAAGTATGTCAATCTTCGTTCGCTAGTGCCGATCTAACCGGCACCTCACCCTTCCTTTCCCTTTTCCTTCCCCCCTCCGTCCTTGCCAAGAAATTTGAATCCCTCTTGCTGGAAATTCAAGTAATCCACAATTCCTAATCATATTATAAAAAGGTAAAAATGATGTAGGGTTCCTTAAAGAACCTTCTTGTTTCTCATGGTTCTCCGTGATTTCATTTAGATGACCAATAACAAACCATGGTTTTGATCTCACCAATCCATATCTTTTTAATCTTTCTCATACTTGTTCTCTTAAATTTTGAACTGGATCTCCATACACAAAGATAATGTAAACTTTTTTTCAAAAAGTTGCGGCCTCCACATCAGTCATCTGGTTACTTGTGTAGAGAATGTTGACCTGCTATTCATTATTATAATAAATCTAAACCTCCACTTTTACCAATTGGGTCCACCGTAACCAAATTATCAAAACAAAAATGAGATTGGAAACTTTGGACGAAAGCGAAATTTTGTTTCGTTTCCAATAAGAACAAAAAATCTGGTTTATGTTTATGCCAAATCTCTCTAAGGTAACGTATTGTACACTTGCTTTCCATTCCTCTACAGTTTCAGCTGGGGATTCTCATATAATAACAATGTCTGAAGTGCTCATGTGAGCCGAAGGCCCAGGAATGAAGGAACCCAATAATGACCACGAGACGGCCATTGTACCGCTTAGATAATGTAGTAATCGCTAAATATATGAGAAACCGGTAACATGGCCTTTGAAAACAAATTCGTCTCTTAAAATGCTTAGATAAAACCATAATCCTTGCCTTCTTCGATCATATTCTGACGAATCCACATAAAGTTAATGTCTAAACAAACGAAGCCAGTCAATAATATTCCACCCTTATCTCCTTTCACTTCCTATAAATTCGGTCATCTAAAGTGCTAAAAACAGATTCCACATGACCTCTTTTGTTTCTCAAACTTCTACCTTGAATCCAAAATTGAAGATAAATAAAGTGGTGACCACGTTGGCATGATGAGGCCAAAGTAAACGAGTATTTTGCTTCATACTCCAGAGCCAGTGTATAGTCCCAGGCAAAGCTAATCTGAGGGGAATAGCCATGAAGGGTGGCTAGTTGTGGCCAAATACGTAGAAAAAAACATATGATCCTTGTCTTTCCCCATATAAACCAAATACCAAAGCCTCAAGTAACCGAAGAAACCAATATTATTCCATAATAGTAAGCTCAGATAGAATGAGCACCAAGCATACAATACGAGAGAAAAAACAAGACACCAACAAGAGTTAAACATAAAGACCAAGGTAATTTTAATTACATCTTTTCAACAAAAATCCAAATATACCTAAGTCCATAAAATACAAAAATAAAATAATATAAAACATAAAAATTTAAATAATATAGAACTAAATATTTAAATTTGCATAAAATATAGTTCAATTTAAATATTTGGACAAGAGCAAACAAATATTATTAATATTTT